ATATATTTTAAGATATTTAAAATTATTCAAACGTTTCGACCTTTTTGTCAGGCCGTCTTCAGTTTACAATATTTGGAAAATTGAACGCAATAATTCTGAACTTATTCATATAATTCTGAACTTATAATTACACTAATATAATGATGGCCGTAGATTCTTCATATATTAATGCCATAAAAATATAATTCCTTCTTTCTTGTAATTTAGTTAATTAATTAACATTTATCTATAGAATTATGTCTAGCAATTATTAATCTCGCAATTTATGGTCCATATTAATAATCGATTGAAAATATTGAGTTATCAATAAAAGAGTATAAGTACACAATCTGTCAATTATAAGAATAAATACAATAGATTATAAATTATAAAACAAATAGTAAATAAATGATCGTTACATTCACTGATTGTTTACATAATATATAATCGTTAAATAAAATAGATCTTATATATAATAAATATATAATATATAATAATATATATAATAAATTAAAATCTAATAAGATAAATATATAATAAATTAAAAATTGTGTACATACGTTCTCTCAAACGAGAAGGCATAGCAAGGATATTATTCCAATAATTAAAGACAGTAAGCCCATTTCCACCAATGTAGATCAACTTTAATCTCGGTTCAACTTACTCTTCATCTTTTTCTAATCTTTAGAAAAGACGAAGAGTAAGTTAAACCGAGATTAAAGTTAACCTATATTGGTGGAAATGGACATAAATCAATTAATTTTTTGAAGCAAATTGCGACCCGAGTCATAAAATTAAAACACATTCAATCAGTAACTAGCGACGTTCTGATACTATGTAATAACAGCTTTTGTAACTGTTGGAAGTAAGGATGAGATTGGAAGGGAAAAAGAGATAGGGATAGAAACGAAGGAAATAAGAAGAAACATTATAAAGGGGAAAGAGACTGCAAGATCTGTAGATAAGGATTCAGTATCATTTTGTTTGTTCAATCCTAATTTTTTACTTTTATATGAACCATTTCGGAGATTAATCTTTTATTGTAAGATAGCTTTGTCTAAAATCTTTACGTCTTCAATTGAAATTGAAATTGTGATTGTAATTTATACATCAGTAATCATTGACGGAGAATCAATTTTTTTCTTAATGTCCGAAATGTGTTCATTTAAGTTTTTTTTCTCTTTTTAGTTTTTTTTTTTTTGATTCTATGTAATTCGCTTCACAGTCTTCACAAAAAATTTTATAGATAATATTATGATTAGCCAAAAAAATCTAATTGATCTTTTCCTCTAGTTATAAAGCTTTTTAGAATATTAGAGTATTAAAGATGGAATATGCTAGGTTACAATTATACTTATTGGTTATAGACTTTCAGAAATAGATTTTACATATGAAATTGTGAAAAAATTTTTTTTAATTGATATGAACATTTTGTTTTATATTATTATTGTGTATGTGTATTTTAATCTTTTTTCTATTGTTGAAAAAATGAAGGAAAGAGGATAGTTATTTAAAAAGATATGAATAGCATCAATCAAGTTCTTTGTCTCATCCTGAAACCTAGGATGAGACAATCTGATTATTCTATTCACAAACCAAAAACCACGTCTTTTTTATGATTTGAAAGGTAATGTGAAAGAAAATTAAGGAATCTGCCTGAACAAATAATCTTCTGGTATCTATTAAAAATAATCTTATGATTATCAATAATCATAATGGCTAAAAAACTTAATTTATCATCAATACCGATCTCCATAGTGAACTGTAGTCTGATGTGTAAAGAGTTAAATATTTCTAATATTTCATTAGTACTTCCTAATGATGATACTAAAACGATGTCATATCGAAAGTAGAATAATAACTACAGTAATTTTTGGATCGCTATTGCTTCAAGATCCTGTATAATCAGTAATAATTGGTAACAATGGTGAACCCATTGGCGCACCAAAAGCTTGCTTATAAATTTTGTTGTTGAATGAAAAAAATGTATCGTTAAGAATGGATGAAAGCTAAAAATTCTTTTAACGGAATGCTTGTCTTTTTTGATATATCCTATATCGATATATAATCTCTTTTTAATATTCTTTTTAATATTTTAATGCTAATTCTTTGTTCATCAACAAAGACACAACATTTAACGATATCAAAACATAGTTAGAATCAAAATGGGCTTTTAATTTCTCGACCAAATGGAAGCCATTTTTTATATAACTAGGAGCTTCTCATATGCTATTGACGATGATGTGTAAGAATAGACAATATAACAGATTACTAAAAACTATAATCCAGAAGTCAACTTATTTAGGATTTTTATCTATTATTTTGTATGTATCTGTGTCTGAAAAAATTATTTCTATTTTTGAAATATAATCGACCCTATCTAGAACGATTGTGACATTTCCCTTATTCGCTTTCGCTCTGGATTATTACATAGTATTAGAACGTCGCTAGTTTCTGACTAAACATGTTTTAATTTTTTTACTCAGATCGCAATTTGCTTCAAAAATTAATTGATTCAAAAGTCGATTCTGTAACTCTTAACGACAGTCATTGATGTCATTGCGCAAATATTATGTAGAGTAAAAGAGCTGCGCTCTTGACATGAACGACTGTCGTTAAGAGTTACATAATCGATCCCTTATTGTCTTTAATTATAGGACTAATATCATTGCTACGTCTTCCCGTTTGAAGTATATACATATATACAATTTTTAATTTATTATATATTTATAAAGATCTGTTTTATTTAACGATTATATATGTGAACAGTGATTGTAACGATCATTTATTTACTATTTGTTTTATAATTTATAATCTGTTGTATTTATTCTTATAATTGACAGAATATGTGTTTATAACTCTTATTGATTAACTCAATATTTTCAATCGATTATTAATATGAATCATAAATTGCGACTGCTAGACACACTCGTAGATGAATGTTAACTAACTAAATTACACGAGAAAAGAAATTATATTGTTACGGCATTAATATATGAAGAATCTATGATCATGATTATGTTACATAACTATAATTATATGTATCCAATTGTTACAGAAAATTAATTTATTGCATTTAATTTTCCAAACATTGTAAACACTGAAGATAACAAAAAAGTCGAAACGTTTGAATAATTTTAAATATATTAAAATTTGGCTCATAATCCTTATTGTTGAGTAATGTTTATTTATTTTTATTGAACCATAATATTATTATTTTATTTAATAGTGTACACTTTATGATAAAATATGAAATAGGTACACATAAATTTTACGCTCATACTTACTCTTGTAATACATGTGAACGAATCGAAGGAAGCACAGCGGAATAATTGCTAATATCAATGTAACGAGGAATAGGAACTGAAACTATGAAAAATAAGATTAAATTATTACATGTACCATTATGTAAATATTTAGAATTGTGATTTGTTTTAACTTACAATATAAACTATGTTAGCCATCAGTACTAACTTTGGAAGAATAGAAACGGATAACCATGATCCATCAAGGGAAAAAGAATATGATACAATTTTCCTTCTGTTTTCATTATCAACTACACATACCTAAAATAGAAAATAATTTTATTTGCAGAAACAATGTGTGTGTGTGTGTGTATATATACACACATATATATATATATATATATATATATATATGTTTTGAGTTAGTTGCTAGTATATTAATTTTTCATAAGTAATTTAAAAAATATTTATTAACTGTTATCTGATGAATACCCTCCTTATATCTCGTCGAGTTCCATGGCAATACATAGAGAGGTCCATTTACATGATCACATTTTTGCCAAACATCATTATCTAATTGAATTTCGACAGTTTTTAACGGAACCGTAGAAAATGCTAGTATTCTAAAACAAGCTTATAAGTTGAATTTTATAATTTTCAAATAATTTCATAAATAAAAAAACTCTTACGAGAGCATCGATAAAAAAAAGGGCTTACCTGACATGCGTGGATTTGATAATAGATTCCAAATTTTCTTTTTGTGGCATCATAAATAGCATATTTTTTGGATTGGTGATTAATATTACAGGCCAATCATTGTGTTTTATATCAATAAATGAGAATTGGCCATGATCTATTGCGGCGAGGCGATACCTAGTAAAAGGTGTGTGTCAAATTTAATATTGTAAACTAAATTAGAAATATTGATTGAAATAAATATTTTGACAAAATATTATATACATGATGGGGCATTTTAATCGCCCAGGCTCAGAAACTAAGACAGACACAAGAAAAAGTTTTACATGAAAATTGTAGGTTTTCTTGAAGGGAAAGAAGGTGGAAATAACGAATTTTGAATAGGAGGCATTATCAAGATCAAGTCAAGGTCAACATGAATTTTTTTAATGGAACCCCCACTTTTTATTGTATATTCTTGTAGTACATCTCGAGAGCTTTCCAAAACACTATAATAAAATATTTCTATATCTATCACTATAACTATCTATCACTATAGTAAATTTTTTCATGAAATACTTTTCAAATGATAATGCTTGAAAGTTACAGTATCGCCATTAGCATTACGCAAGGTATCCGACCGCTAAAATTTCTGAATATTATTCAGAATTATGTCCTAGAAAATATTTGTTAAGATCAAGGTCATTGGAGATTGTTTTTCTTACTTTCAGTTTTGTACTGAAAATTCATTTTTACATAAAAATGAAAATAAGAGATATAATCACCAATGGCCTTGATCTTGACAAATGTTATCCAGGTCATGATTCTAAACAATTCATGAAGTTTTTAGCCGATTGGACACCTTGAGTAATGCCGGCAGTATTGTAACTTTCGAATCCTATAACTCGAAACTTAATGAAAAATATTTTATTATAGTATTTTCGAAAACTCTGAGATGTGCTACAAGAATATATAATAAAAAATGGGGGTTCCATTTAAAAAATTCATGTTGACTTTGATCTGATCTTGGTAGTGGTTATCCGTTATTTCCACCTTCTTTTTTCTAAGAAAACTTACTACTTTCATATAAAACTTTTTCTTGTATCTCTCTTAGTCTCAGAGATATTCGCCTGGGGCGATTAAAATGCCTGCGAGCGTGCGTGTAGTTATATTTAAAAAAATAATAAAGAACATATATACTAATATATTAGGTGTACAACTTTGCTTCCGCCGTTTTTTTTCCGAAATTTGAGGCTTTATTATAAAAAACTGGTTATACATTTATGATTCAAAGTATTGTCCAGCGCTGGCCACTACTTTCTCCCATCTTTCGGGTAGCGTACGAATCCCGCGTCGAAAAAACTGGTCATCTTTTGAGGCTATCCACGAATCGATCCAATTTTTTACTTCTTCATAAGACCGGAAGTGCTGGTCAGGCCGTGTGCCATTGATCGAAACAAGTGATAGTCAGAGGGAGCAACGT